TCACTCTCAATAACTGTTAGCCACTGAGCCCCATCCAGGAAGGAGGCGCTGCATGTGGTATGGCTCCCTCAAAGGCCTGGGTACCGATGGTGACTCAGATTAAAGGTAGGCAGTGTCCTTTTTTTTTTGGTACCGGAGATTGAACTTGGGTCCTTGCGCTTGCGAGGCAGCCAGTGGAACCACTGAGCTAAGTCCCCGGCCCGGCCCTAGGCAGTGTCTTTTGTATAAAGGAAAGTTGTGCTCACTTCGGCAGCACATATACTAAAATTGAATAAAGGAAAGAACACCCTGTCAATCAGGCCCCCCAGACATAGAGTGGGCTGCTCCCCAGGGCATGAACTCCACATTAGCAGAGGCATGCAGAGAAAAGCAGCTGGCTTTAGCAAGGAGAGTGCAGCAGGGGCTTTGACTTCAGTTTGGAGGACAAGCTAGACAATCTCTAAAGCCCCTTTGGTTTTAAGATTCTATGGCTATAACTTGGGATTTTGTGATGTGCTCAGTTCCATGATACTGAACTGCTGGACTACAGTTTGCCAATCTGGGCAAATCCAGCCTGAGGATGGGTGTCTTTGGCCCACACAATATTTTTTTCTCTTACTCTTTGATGAAACTTTTTATTACAGCAAATTTTAAACATATACAAAAGTAGAGAGGCTAAACTAATGATCCCTCACATACCATCACCCTGCTCAACAATTATTGACTGATAACCTTGTTTTATGTGGGGCAGCACCATGCACTAGGACTCTGAAGATGGAAAGTTCTGTCTGTGTTACCTGGCACAGTAGCCTCTAGCCACATATGGGTATTGAACACTTGGAATGAGGCTAATGTGATTGAGGAACTGAATTTTTAATCATTTTAATTTTAATTAATTTAAGTTTAAATAACCATATATGGCTAATGTTGCAAATGTAGGTGTTGGAGAGCATAGGTCTGGACCCTATCCCATTTTGTTCCCCTCCATATTATTTTGAATGATGACATCATGTCATCACCTCCATAAATATTTCAGTATATATTCAAAAAGCAAAACTTTTAAAAACATCTAAAACGTGTAATAGTGCTATCACACCTATAAAAAGGAATAATAATTTCTTTAAAATTCATATGGTATTTCTTTAATTAGTTGCCAACATTTCTAAATTGAGACTTTCTTTTTTGTATAAATATCCTAATTTCCAACTATTCTTTAAAAGATTGAAAAAAAAGAAATACACTCCAGACACTGAAACTCCATGTTCTCCTAAGGCATCAAATTGCTGGAGCTGACAGTGGCTGCTTCTTTCGACAGGGTCCTCTCCATAATTCCCCAGAGTCCCAAATGAAATCAGCTTAGCCCTTCTGAGCACTGGTGTTTGACTCTCCTAACTCCACTATCTGGAATCACAGGTCAGAAACATAACTAATGCTTTCTACATGCCTTGATTTCTGGTAACTTCAGATGCCCCTGGAATGCTAGACCCTCACTCATGACATCCCAGCTCCACACAGGGATAGCAGGAAAAGAGAAAAAGGTGGAACAGAAGTCCCTGGGCTTTTTGAGTTTGGGGTCCTGAGTTTTAGTCTTTGTTCCACATCTACCTCACAGATGGGGAAACTGAGACCCAGAGAGAAGAGGAGGTCTGGCTGCCCTCACTGTGAGGGACTTGAGATGCCTGAATGTGGTTCCAAATGCTCTGCTTAAGATCAGATGCCTGGTGCTCTGCTGGGCAAAAACAGGGACCCTGGCTGGGAGCTGTTGGGAGTGGTTAGATGGGAAAGGGTCTCAGCTTTTCAGCCAGAGCCTAAAATTAGTGGCTGGGAAGTGTTTGGCCTCATCCCAGCAAAAAAAGAGGTGTTGTGACTCTGTAGGGGACTGCTAAGGAGGAAGGAGAACGCCTAGCTCCCAGCACCATGTGAAATGGGAGTCAAACGTGTAAAATCACATTCTTTACTGACATTTATGATTCATTTGGCTGCCAACCCCAGGAAGGTCCTATTTTTTACATCCTTGCAGGAGTGCTCAGAATTGAGGAGTGAGGCAATGAGGAAAGGGCTATCAGGGCCAAGAGCTTCCTAGGCCACAGTATGGGTGGGGTGGCTGATGTTTCCTAGAGAACTTACAGATTAGTCTTGGTCGCTGGGGCCTGACTCAGCTTCTTCATGCCCTGTGGCAAAATGCAGGAGTCAGTGGCCCTAGCTTGATATAAAACCTGGACACTTTCTGGATGTTTGACCTTGTCAAATCACTTCTCTAAATGCCTTCTAAATGTCTCTGGACCATCCTTTCCTGTCCTCTGACAACTAGTCTCCTGTCTTCCACCTTTTTCCCCTTGCGGTCTGTTTTCCAGAGACAAAGTTCTCCCTCAAACTGTCTTTCCCTGTTTAATGCCTCCCTGTGGCTCTCCATCCTTCTTGGGATAAAAAACAAATCCTCCTCCATGGCTCACTACATCTCTTGATTTCCCCCTCCTTCTTTGAATTACAGCCATTCTGACCACTTATTGCTCCTCTCCACTCACCTCAGGACCTTTGTTTATGCTTCCTTGACCAGCAACACTCTCTCCTCCCTCCTTAACCTGGTTAGCTCATGTGCTTGTTTCAAACCATGGCTCAGCAGTCACCACCTCTAGAAACCTTCCCTGACTACCAGGCCCTTCTCCAACGGTACTGCCATCCTCAGTGCTAGACCAGGGAACCTTACTAGGGCATGCCTGGAACCTGAAGAATTTGTTTGTTATGTGTTAATGTGATGATTTAATTAATGTTCAGCCTCCCTCCCCACTAAACTGAGTTCCTAACAGATGGGTTGGGTCTATCTTGCTCACCATTGTATCTATCCTTGCTCCTGGCACATCATAGATACTCAAAAACCCTTGAAATAAGTGTCAAATGGGGGAGGGGGCATAGCTCAATGATAGAGTATTTGTTTAGCATACATGAGGTCCTGAGTTCAGTCCCGAGCATGAAAAAAGAAAGAAAACATCAAACTTTCACTTCTCTGAGATTCAAGTTCCTCATCTGGAAAGTGGGGATCATCTTCATAAATCTCAGAGCTTTGGCAAATTTTAGCAAAGTATACATAGAAAGTATTGACTGAGCAGAGGTTATTTTCTGGGGGTGGGAAGAGACCCACCCAACGAAAACCTCCCTTGTGAACTCTCCCAACAGTCTTCTCTGACCTCTGTCTCCTATGGACAGATTCAGTGGGCGGGAAGAACAACTGGCCCAGGGGTAGGTTTCAGGCCCACCGGAAACTAGAGGGAAACTACACGGCCTCCTTCTTCTTGAGAGGGCCTCTTATTCAAACACCTCCTCAACACCTCCCATGACTAAGTGCTCCACCCTAGGCTGAATGTTTTACACATTTCACCACCTTCTGATTCTCCAGCTCCCCTATGAGGTTGCCACTGGGCCAGTGGGTTCAGAGAGGGGCAGCAACTTGCCCGAGGCTACACAAGCAGTAAGTGAAGAGCCAGGATGTAAGCCCAGGTTTCCCCAACCCACAGTCTGGGTTCTTTCTCTCTGTGCTTGGCTATCTTTACTCAGGAGCTTATAAAGCATAGCTTATGAAGTACATCCACTCTCTTTGTTCATTCACTCACTCAAGAAATAAATAGGCGTGGAACATTAATGATGTGCCAGGCACTAGGGACATAGCAGAGAACAAGATAGACTTGGTCCCTGTTCTCAGGGAAAATAAATATATAAGCAAGTAGACTAGATCATTTTGGGTTATGATATGTGAGATTAAAGAAAAAGAGTAGGATGACAGAAGTTGACTAGAGGGTGGGGCGGATAGGAGAGTTTGGAAGGGTGGTGGGTCTGGGACACTTCTCTGAGTAGGTGACACTGACTGAGACAAAAGAGTGCAAGTTTGGTGGGCAAGAGTGTGGAACTTTCCCGACAGAGGCCTTGAGGCTGGACGGAGTGTGCTTGTTGGTTGTGAGGAGCTGGAGGTTGTGAGGAGGAGGCTGTGGGCACAGAGGTCCTTGAGGGGGGACAAAGGCTGGGCCAAACCAAGCCTCAAGGTCAAGGTGATGATTTTTATCTAAGAGTAGTGGGGACAGGCTAGCCTGTCTTAGTTACTTTTCTTGTTGCTGAGACAAAATACCTGACACTTAAAGTTAAAGGAGGAAAAGTTTATTTTGGCTCAGAGTTTGCAGAGGTTTCAGTCCACAGCTGACAGGCTCTAAGGCAGGGTGGCATGGCGGAGGGGCATCATGGAGGAGAAACAGTCCATGGTTTGGCAGGGCAGGCAGATGGCAGTAAGCAGCAAACAAAGACTGCAGCAAGCCTCTTTCTGTCCTTTATATTTCATCATATCCAAGGTGAGTCACCCTTAATCCCAGAATCACATTCTTAATCCCAGCATCACATACCCTAGATCCAGCCACCTCTGAAAAGCTCCACCTGTGACCCCAAGAGGCTTTGTGGGGGACATCTAGACACAAGCCATAACACTGGCCTAGGAGTCTACAAGCACCTCAGGCTGCTGTGAAGGACAAGCTCTGAGAGGCAAGGATGGAGACAAGATCGCCAGGCTGCCATCGTGCAGTGCCATGAAGCCAGGTGGTGATGCTGGGGAGGAAGGAAGTTCTTGGGTTCAGGACAGCCAGGCCTTACTGTATCTGAATTGGACAGGGCAGGTTGGGTTGCTGATGAAAACGCCTCAGGAGAGGCAAGAATCTGTTACTTAGACCCACTTTAGGGAGGATTGAGACCCACAGAGGGGCTGGACCTTCCCAGAGCCACCGGGGTCTCCTGACTCTTTAATCGCTGTCATCATTCTCTCCACAATATTTGATAAACTCATAGAACCCCAAGAGAAGCTCTTAGGTCCATCATGTCCAACTGGGGTGCTTCTTGGCAGTCCTACTGCCCACCCTCCCTATGACAGAAGTAGCCATGATAACATGGAGACAAAATGGCCATGACACTTGCTGACTGTCCCGCATCCCTTCCCTGGCTCAAGGGGCCATGGAGAGCCAGGTTTCAATCCTAGGTATGGCACTAACCTGCTGTGTAACTTTAAGATAAGTTCCAGTCCCTTTCTGGGTCTTGGTTTCCTCCTGTGTAAAACAAATACAATAGTAATACCCTGAAGTTCTGTGGAGAGGAACTGATACATTGATACACACAAAAAGGATCAGCATGGCCAATCATACTTTCAGCACTTAATAAATGAGTGCTCTTATCATTATTATGAACCCCTTCACACCCGGAATAATGAGGGCTTGGCCTTGGGTGGCTTACTGCCTCCCCAGCCCACCCTGAGCAGCCCACAGGGGTCTGTGGCCACCCCTGGAGAAGCTGGTTCCTGGATGGAGTGGAGCGGGAGAGCCGCTGGAAACTGCTGTGGTTTGGCCCAAAGCTATGAGGGGGAGTGGGGGGGGGCGGTGAGAACACGCACTCGGAAACGCTGAGCAGCCTGACAGATGGAGGAGCTGAGGATGTGAGAGACGCAGACAGACAGAGAGGGACCCAGAGTCAGGGAGAGGAGGAGCAGGCAGTGGAGGACGCAGGAGGGCTGGCGGTCATGCAGTGCCACAAGCTGAGCAGCCAACCAGCAGGTGGACAGGGCTTCCAGAGGACTGGAAGACTCAATACAGACAGACCCAGGATCCAGGACAGGCAGAAGAGCAGAGCCAGAGTCCATAGGAAAGACAGGCTGTCTCAGAATCAAAGGGACAGACATACAAGCTGGCCCAGGATCTCAGGGTCAGACTAAGAGACTAAGAGATAGATTGACCCAAGGTGCCAGTGTGAGATTGATAGACAAATGACTGACTGACACAATATAGGAATGGATTCCTGCATTCAGTGATCAGAGACTAACCTAGCACTGACCCAAGAGCTGAGGCCCAGCTCTTTGAATGGAGCCCGAGGCCAGGCCAGGGACCTGACCTAGTGCCAGAGATTCAGATGCTGGGCTCAGAAGCTTCCTGACTTCTCAAGAACATTGGATCCACCATCCTTCCCCTCTCTTTCTACCATTAGGTGATTCCCCAAACTCTGGGGCATGCTGGAAGGTTCCTGGGTCGCAGAGGCAACTGAGCCTGGGAAGAAGGGAATGAACCCCACTTCATCTCCTGGCTGCTGCCTGCTCAAGGAGGTCATGCGGTTCAGAAGGGATGGCTTTTTGGGTCCTTGAGCAGAGAGATTTCACCCCCTAACTGCTGATTTCTTGCCTCCTCCCCAGGCTTGGCTTTTTTGCCCCCAACCCCAACAGTGTATACTTATCTGCTCCTCCAGTTTCTCCCAGGACATGCTTCCTCTTAGCACAAGACTGGGGGTCAGAAAATTAGATCCAAAATAGACTCTGAGTGCCTCTTTCTTCATCTATAAAATGGGCAGCAGAACTAGCCTGTTAGGTCAAGGCACCGACTGCAGTGATTGACTCACACTAGGCCTTTGACCATTTAAGCCTGAGAACTATTGTAAGAAGGGAGACCTAGCTACACTGGAAAGGCATCAAGGAAGGCTTCCTGGAGGAGGAAGGACTGAAATGAGTCAGGAAAGACAGGAAGAACCAGCAAGGTATCCTGGCTTTATGCAAATTCTGGTAGAGAAGTCCCAGGGCCCTCCAAGATCAGGAGGGAGACACAAGCAAACATTCACATTTATCCATTCCTTCAGAAAATATTGATTGGATGCCTACTACATGCACAAGTGCAGGAGGTACAATGGTGACCAAAATAGATAAGGTCCTTGCCCTCATGAATCCCCAGTGATAGGATAAAAAATAAATGTCTAAATAAATAAGTTATTACACAGTATGTTAAGTAGAAAGTAAGAGGGGAGGATTTGATAGACTAGAGTGATTTGCTGAGGGCAGACGTGGCCTGGGAGCCCTCTCTAAGAAGGTGATGAGTAAGCTGATGGAGAGCCACTGCAGGATATGGGGGGGGGCAGGTTCCAGGCCCAGCAAGCAGCAAGTGCAAAGGTCCTCCTTCAGGAACAAGTCTGGCTGGACCCTCCAGGGCACCTGGAGTGTGGTGAACACATGGACGGTGGTTTGAGATGCAATGAGAGAAACAGTCAGGCCAGATGGTTTGAGCCTGCAAGCTGAGGGGAGAAGACCAAGTTTGATTCCAAGTGTGCTAGAGGCCTCTGGAAGGTTTTTCAGAAGGGAATGACCTGATCTGACAGGTTCTGGAGCTAGCCCTCTGGCTGCATGTGAGGAATGGACTGTAGGGGGAAGTAGCCTACAGAGAAGGCTGATGTGGTTGTCCAGGCAAGAGATAACAGTCACCTGCACCTGGTGGGGACATTGGAGAGATGGATGGATGAAGATATATTCTGGTAAAAAGCAAATGTATGGGACAGGGATGTAGCTCAGCAACACCGAATCTGCCTGGCAAGCACAAGGTTCTGAGTTCAATCCCTGTACCCACCCTCCAAGAAAAGCAAATGTACATCCCTTCCCCTAAAATCTGGATTCCTTGCCTTGAGATGGTAAGAAATCCGTGGGTGGTACTAGTCCCATTCATGATGACATCAACTTCTCTCAACTTCCTTTCAAATTGAGTGGGATGTGCGATACGGTGGACTTCCTGGAGGAGATTCCAAGAGAGGTGGTAAGGAAGAGACTGAGGACTCTACCCAGGGTATGTTTCCCTGATCTCTGTGCACAACCCTCTACAGTTTGTAAATTATTTTTCAATCCATCACTTAATTTAATGCTCACAACAAAGAAGTAAATAAGGCTCAGAGAAGCAGAGAGACCACCCAGAGATACAGAAAGTCCAGGGCAAGGCTGGGTCACAAACTCACAAGCCTGGAATACTGCCATCTTTCCTTTCTGATCCTCACCCACCAACCATGATGCAGGCAGGATGACAAGTGCCAGCCCTGTCTTAGAAAAAGGGAAACTGAGGCCGGGGAAATTAGGTTGCATGTTCTGGGCAGGACTGTTTTAAGACCTTTGTGGGCTCTACATCTATCAAGCATATTAAAATGCAGCCACATTATACATCAAATGTAAATTATACATAACCAGATAAAAGCCAAATTGCCGTTGACTGGCTGACATTATGTTCTGTTTTGGAGACATTTAATTAAACATTTATTAATTTTGATTCTGCAGTTTTTCCCTGTTTTGGAGCCAATTTCTTTTCAGACCTCAAATATTCTCTTAGGTCCATGAACATCTCGGAGGTCCTTGGCAGTGAGCAGTTAGTGCTGGCTGGAAAGAACTGCCAGTTTGGGTCCTGTTGCCAAAAGGGCCCAAGTGAGGCAGAACCCATGCCTTTCATCCTCAGGCTGCAGTGAAGTCTATACACTCCCCAGTCACCCCATGTGCCCACAGCTCAGGTCTCCTTTCTTCCCCTCTCCTGTCCCTGTTCCTGGCCACAGTAGCCATGGGCTGGGTGAGCCCTTTGTCTGCTGTGAGCTGGGAGCTGGCAGAGGAGAGGGCAGGAGTGGGTAGGGAGATGGGCAGGCAGCCGCCAGGTGGTGATGGATGCTGGCCTGGAGCCGGGGCCTCCCTCATGCTGACCCGGCCGGGAAACAGATGGTCTTCCAGCCCAAGAGAAACTTCCAGGGTGTCACCCTCCCCCAACTCCCCAGGCCCCTTCACATTGGACCAGCTGGTCTCCTTCCTGTTCAAAGCCAGAGCGAGCCATGGAAGTGGAGGATTGGGGGGAATGGGCTGGGAAGGCAGAAGAGGTGGAGTCCAGGGAAGATGGCTATGTTCTGGGCCCCTCAGAACCCTGGGGCCATCTTAGCCTCTCTCACAGCCCCCAACTTCTAGCCACTCCAGGTCTGCTTTCTGTCCCTCCTATGTCCCTTGCTCTGCCCTGTCATTGCAGGCCTGGACCAAACCCCAGCTTCTCCTGGCTTCCCTCCAAGCCAGTCTCCAGAGCCAGGTTTCAGAGCTACTGAGCTGATAACATCAACTCTGATTCTGGGACGGAATTCAGATTTAGAATAAAATCCAAACTCTGCAGTCCAGACTTTTTTAATGGTGTAGGGATCAAACCCAGGACCTGGTGCATGCTAAGGAAGTGTTCTACCTTAAGCTACACTGCCAACCCCTCCATGTCCAGAATGTGCTGCCTTTTACAGTTTTAGTCTTTTGTGCCTTTGCCTGTTAAAATCCTCCAGCAAGCCACTGGCCATTGCCCTATGTCACATGCTCTTATGCCCCTGCATCCTTTGCATCAGCTGGGTCTTCCATCTGGGATGCCCTTCCACCTCTTGGGTGCCTTCAAACACTGATCCCTGCATTAAAACTGAGATCAAACCCTTCTTCCTCCAGGCTTCCCTGACTGCCCCATACACACCCCTCACAAGACACCCATCTCTGGGTTCCAAAGCATCTTATAGTGTCTATTTTGCCTCTTACCTGTCTCTTGTCTCCCACCGTGAGACTGTGAGAAATGTGAGGGCAAAAACCAGGTAGTTAAAATACTCTTGCTATTGCATAAGTAGCAAAGAATGTTTCTGGCTGCAGAAATCATTATGTGGGAGGTGGGAGGGGGCCCATAAGAAGAAACAAAATCCACGCCTGGAGCTGCTCAGAGGAGTTCACATCAGGAGGGAGGGAAGTGTGCAAGCAATGAGTGTGAATGAACAGGCTGGAAAGGGCTGAAGGAATTCCAGTGTGGGAAGGGAGAGTTAGACTGAGGGGCCTTTGCATTTCCCAAATCAGCTTCTGAGGGAACAGACCCTTCTCTGTTCTGGCTGCCAATCCTGTAACATGTGGAAGGTGTCTAAAACATTGATTGGGGATGGGGAGGAGGGCTCTAAAGGAGTTCCTGGCCACATTTTATGGGGAGACCATGGGCTCCAGAATATCATCTCTGAAAGGATTCCCAAGGCCATCAAGCCCATCCCTCTCATTGGCCAGCTGAGAAACTAAGGCCCAGAGAGTGCCACACTGTTGCTAAGAGCAGGATACCCATTTGAGAAAATTTGGTTTTAGCTGGTTCCATGGCACATCGCCTCCTTCCTTGGGCTAACAATATACTGTGACTACAATTGGTCTTCTGGTTCCCAAACAACATACTGGCAATGTCAGCACTTCTCATCTGAGAATAGATTCCCCAGTCCTGGGCTCCCCAATTTCAGATTCGGGCAGTAAGGTCACTAAATCTGTGTTGAGATTTTCCTGCCTGGTTTCCTGGGGAGGCCACTTTTGGAGGATTGGTTTCTATGGTTTTAGCAAAGGGCCTGCCTGCCCCATAAATCAAAGAGTTTAGGAGGCTGGGTAAAGGGCAGGGTCTGTGTGTGCAACAGCCAGAGTGAACCTGCTTGGCAGGAGAGGGGAAAGTGAACCCAGAGATCTTTGTGGACAGATGCCATCTCATCATGCATGGGTGCTGCACTTTACAGTGTACAAAGCAGCTTCCCATTTATTCAGTCCTCACAGCTACTTTGAGAGAGACTAACTAGGGCTCAGGGAGAGTCTTGTTCAGAATTACACAGTAAATTAGGAGCGAAGTCAGGAACTGGATTCAGGACTCACTCCCCAGGTTACCAGCAACTCAGCAGACTTGCATACAATGCATTCATTCTGCCCACTGTGGACTGAGCACCTACTGCGTGCTTAGAACTGAGGGTGCACAGTTAGCAGGCTGACCTAGTCAGTGTCCTGCAGCTCCATTTGGGGAGCTGCATGCATGATCAGGGAGTCATAATCCATTGTGATGAGGCCAGGGGCGGGGTGGGGTAGGGCTCCTACCCCAGGTGGAAGGTGGTCAACAGCTTCCTGAAAGAAGTTGTTTAAAAGCAGAGCTTTGAAAGAAAAGCAAGACTTATCTGGATTTGGGGTTTGGGGGCTGGGCGACAGGGCAAGGTATTCCAGGTGGAGGGAGTAGCAGGTATAAAAGCTCTGCAGTATGAGAGGGCGCTGAGCACTGTGGAATCTGTGACCTGTGCAGAGTACCAGGAGCCACAGAATTTGTTGGTAGAAGTGTCAGAAGAGGAAGCAGCAAGGTCTCAAATGCCCAGAGAAAGTAAGCAGCCCTGTGCCCCTAGTTGGGGCCAGGCACTGAGTTGAGGTCAGGGATAGACAAAAAAGTGGCCGCCACAGAACTGGAAGGGATACTGAAGTAATCCCATGGGCAAAACCCTTTATGATTTGAGTACAAGGCAGTGTGTTCTAAGGGTCAGAGTGCTGTCTGGGTTTGAATCCTGGTTCCACTGCTTCCTGCTGTAGGACCTTGAGCAAATGATAGGCCTCTCTCACAGTTTCCTCTTCTACAAGATGGGGATGATAATAGAGCTGGTGTAAGCACTCTCTGGTGTCAGTGACCCCTCAAAAAAGGTTGGCCCCCTAAGGTTGGTAATAATGCTGTATCAAGGGCCTCCAGTACGGGAAGCTAATGAGCCGATGCAGTGCTCCCATCCACCCCCGGAGGCGATCCTTTCCCAGGCCCATTTTACAGCTACAAGCTGAGGGGCTCCCGCTGCGCTAGCAGCCCCGCTGGGGCGGGTGGGAGGGCGCAGGCTGAAGAGAGCCAAACGCTGAGCGCCACGTGCCTCCCGCAGGTACTTGCACGCCCTGTACCTGGGCCTGCAGAGTCGCTGGCGTGGGGAGCGGCTGCGGCGCCACTTCTACTGGCAGATGCTGTTCGAGAGCGCGGACGTGAGCATGCTACGCCTGCTGGAGACCTTCCTGCGCAGCGCGCCGCAGCTGGTGCTGCAGCTCAGCCTGCTGGTCGACAAAGGCGGGGAGCCCGACCTGCTGCCCGGTGAGCCCCGCCCTGCCCCGCCCCTGCTGTAGGCCCTGGGGAAGCCCTGCACTCTCCCACCCTCAGTGCCCCTGGCAAGGCTTAGAGAGCCTGGCCCTCTACTTTCCCTACTCCAGGCCGCTCCAGACACCCATGGCCCCTGTATCTTCACCCTCTCACCACCCCTCAGGTCCCCTGTGCGCCTCCCACCTGCTTTCCCCTCTTCCCCACTGCACGGCAAACCAGACCCCATTTCTGCCCTTCACCCCTTCAACACACTGCAGACCTCCTGGAGAAGTCCACTCACTGCCCCGTTCATGCCCTAGACGGTCCTGATCCCAGCCTGCATCACCTGGGGACCCCCCTCCTCACAGATCTGCCCTCTTGCCATCAGTGGGAGGGAGCCTGTCCACTAGGGGTTCTGGGCCCCCTCCCGGGCTTATTCCTTGTCCCCTTTCCCTTGCCCCCTCTGGATTACTGGCCCTGTTCACCCCTACCTTGCCTTTTCCACAACACTGCAAACCAGCTTTCAGGGACACAGAAAAACCACATTTCCTGTCTCTAGAGCACCTGGTGCTTTCCCCACCCAGACCCTCCCCAAACCACCTTCAGTTTCCCAAAAGACTCCACCACCACCACTCAGGCCCCTGAGGGATTCCTTGCCCAAAACACAGTATCTCGTCTGGGATCTTCTCCCCACCCCTTAACTCCCCACTCCTTAAGGAGGCACCCTCCATACCCAGCCTCTTCCTGTTGGCCTGTATCTTCTAAGATCCCTTCCTAGCACCTCCATGCCTTAACCACGACTCCCTTTTTACCTCCTCTTCCACTCCCAGAGTCCTGAACCCAAATTTCCCACCCTCCCACAATGACTCCTAAACCCTAATGACCCCAAACTAGAGTCTTAGACTTGATCCTTGTAGGGATCAAAATCACCCAACTTCCGTCTCCCTTTTTATGCTCCTACACCCAGAGAAGTCCCTGACTTCATGCTGCCTCACTCCTCAGAACCCAGCTCCTGACCCAGACCCCTCCTGCTCTCCCCAGACTCCCACCCGGACCCACCCTAACCCAGCCCACCCCACCCTCACCCTGTCTCCACAGCCCTCTCCACTTCTGCCTCCCTCGTGTCCCTGGCATGGACACTGGCCTCCTACCAGAAGGTGCTGCGGGACTCAAGGGATGACAAGCGACCCCTGTCCTACAAGGGTGCCGTGGCCCAGGTGCTGTGGCACCTGTTCACCATTGCAGCCCGCAGCCTGGCCTTTGCCCTCTTTGCCAGTGTCTATAAACTCTACTTTGGCATCTTCATTGTGGCTCACTGGTGCGTCATGACCTTCTGGGTCATCCAGGGAGAGACTGACTTCTGCATGTCCAAGTGGGAGGAGATCATCTACAACATGGTGGTAGGCATCATCTACATCTTCTGCTGGTTCAATGTCAAGGAGGGGCGCAGCCGCCGCCGCATGACCTTGTACTACTGCATCATCCTGCTGGAGAACGCTGCGCTCACTGGGTTCTGGTACTCCAGCCACAACTTTGACTTTCATTCGCTCATCCTGGTCTGCATGGTGGCCTCCAGCTTTGCGCTGGGAATATTCTTCATGTGTGTCTATTATTGTCTCCTGCACCCCAATGGGCCCATGCTGGGTCCCCAGGTGCCTGGCTGCATCTTCTCTGAGGCCCCAGGGCCCTGTGGCCCACCAGTTGACACTGTCACAAGTCCCCCAAGATCCCTGCCAAGGACTACAGGCACAGAGAGGGATGGGGCCTCAATGGGGGGTGAACGCGCAGGGACCCCCACACCACCTGTCTTCCAGGTGCGGCCTGGCTTGCCTCCCACACCAGTAGCTCGGCCTGTGCGGACAGAGAGGCCTGTTATTCGGATTGACTTGCCTCGTAAGAAGTACCCAGCATGGGATGCTCATTTTATTGACCGCCGGCTCCGGAAGACCATCCTGGCACTGGAGTATTCCTCGCCTGCCACACCCCAGTTGCAGTACCGCAGCATGGGGACTTCCCAGGAGCTGCTGGAGTATGAGACCACAGTGTAGGCCACAGTCTTCCACAAAAGGGGACAGACATGGTGACCCCACATCAACCACAGTGTTGACCCAGAGTTTGAGGGCCACCAGGCTAAGGGGGAGTGGATCTGTTGGTCCAAGGATAATGTAGCCCCATCATTGGGTTCATTTAGGGGTGGGGGCAGCCTTTCAGAGGAGTCCCTGGCTCTAGGTTCTGTTTTCAGCCCTGTGGCCCATTCCCTGAAGACCCCTGAACCAGGGCCTAGGGAGTTGACTGGTGCTACATTCCTCACAAGCTGCCCCACTTTTATTGGGGCCTTCATACCATGTCTGGTGCAGGGGGTGATGCCCTTGCTCCTGCCTGCTGCTGCCCACCTGTCACCCCTGGTGGACCTAGCAGAGGAAGGGCACTGTCGAGTCCATGGCCTAGGCCCTTTGCTTTCCAGTGGCTATACTGAGTGGGCGGTCTCTGTGATGGGAGAGAATCTGAGATGGAGGACATGATGGGAGGTGTGCAGTGAGTTGGGACAGCTTGTGGACAGGGTTGGCATGTCCTGTAGGGTCTGAGACAAGAGGGCACTTGAAGGAGGGAGTTGGGGTGGGGGAAGTTGGGTGGGGACTGATAGTGCAGAGATGGACAAGAGAAGGAACCCTGAGGGCCCAGGGTGGCAGGAGAATGGCAGGGTGAAGGTCTGGGGTGGGGAATCTGCAATCCAGACCAGAGAGTGTAAGGAACATGAGCTCCTCAAGAGACACACTTTGTTGTAGATTGGTATGGAAGAGGTTCTAGACACCTCAGGTGAATTTTTCAAGGAGCCATTCTTTGTTCTAGATGAGCATCTGGAACATTTCTTCTAGATGAAGGTTTTGAACACAACAGATAAAGTGTCTAGGAAGATACTCTGTCTGGGCTCAGTTACAGATGAGGTGGCAGCACATACAACAGAGGAACTATTCTAGAGACATGCTTAGCTCTATCTGAAGTTCTAGAACACATGGCTGATAAAATATCCTAGAGAGCTGATGATCTGTATTCTGTTAGGAGAGGGAAGGATATAGGAGCAAGGACACTGCTCCACCGTGGGAAATTCTAGTGTCCACAATGGTGGCCAAGGGCAAGGGAGCCCTAGAACCCAGTGCAAATCAAACAGTCTAGGCATGGTGCTGCAGTTCTAGACTTCTGGAGCTTATGAAAGTTCTAGGTCCCTGTCCATCTTGGTCCACAGTCATCTTTCTAAAAAGGAAGTTGTTCCCAGAACTCTGAGCTATTTCAGCTGCCAACTGGTTCTCAGCAGGAAAAATAATAGCTGTGGGGACGTGACGTGAATCCTGGCTATCTGCCACCCTGCAGATTCAGCTCTCTGGGGCAGTATGTGGGAAACTGACTTATTTTGCCTCAGATCTGACAACCCCCCAGGACTCATGGTCCATTCCCATGGCCCAAACATCTTGGGGTATGCACAGGACCACACATCCAGGGCTGCTCCCCTGACCCAGGGAGCCAGTCCTAGATGGGGTGCAGGAGTGTGGGGATGGGAAAATAGGTGGCCCTATGGGTTGGAGTGATGAAGCCTTTAGACAGAAAATGGAACCCCTTCCCATTCCCCAAACCAGCTAAGGTGGGGTCACTGGGAGGGGCCAGCAGGGGACATTAGGGACAGATGCAGACCCTGGCTAGGGGCAAGGTAGGCCATGAGAATCCTACACTATGCAAATTAAAAGGGGTGCTTAGCCCTCCCTGCTCAGTTCCCATACAGGTTACAGATGGGAAACTGAGGCCCAGAGTGGCAGCTGCTCTTACAAGGCCCTAGATGGCTGGTTGTCCCATCAAATGGTGATGGGTAATAGATACACTGAGGATTCGAGGAGGGGGCCATGCTCAGGGTGCAAAGAGGGCAGGACTGCATGCACATGCACGCGCGCGCACACATACACACACACACACACACACACACAAGCACATGTCACATCTGTGATACAAGTAACTCAGCCCCAGGCAGCACAAGTGGCTACACAGAAAGCACCAGGCCAAGATGGTGTGTGTATCCCTCCTGCCACACAGAAAAATGCTTTTCCTTCTTCCTCTGCTTCTCTGATTCCTTAGAAGCCTCAGGAACTCAAGAGCAATGGGTGGTCCTATCACGACCTAGGTCCACTCTGGTGGGCTCACCCATACTCCTTGTCCTCTGCCCCACTCCATCTCCTGAGACCTAATTCTGTGGTCAGTTACACACGTCACAGCCTTTGCACCTTGAGCACTGCAGATGGGGCTCAGACGAAACTGCCTGTTTTCCCAGGGCTGACTGTGTCAGGAACTTTCACCCCATGCTGTTTCCCTTACACTTTCCCCTACTTTGGACATCCAATTAGAGGTGTTGTCTTCCCATCCTACAGACAAGGAAACTCCAGAGTTCTGGAATGGCCCATCTGGAGAACTCTGGAGTGTAAAATAACCTGCCAAGGCTGACCATCAGGTGGCTGTGTTGAACTTCAGTTTCCTTGTCTCCTTCTCCAGCATCCTAGAATGAAAAGTCAGAAGTACCTTTCCTGAGAGCTGGGGGTCTTTTACCGCTCTGGAAGCTCCAGTGAGCTGGCAGTGCTAGTCATGGCTTGAGGCTCATGGGGGAATCACAGCGACATCCCCCCCTCCACGGGACCAGGGATTGAACTCAGGACCTTGTGCTTGCAAGGCAGGTGCAGTGCCACTGAGCTAAATCCCTAGCTCACAGCCACATTTTTAAAAACTCAATCCCACAAAACCTTCCCTCAGGACCTCTGCATGTAAGAACATCTGAACACCAGAAAAGGTCATGATCAAAGAGCCAGAGGAGAGGGCTGCATGTACCTTTTCCTTCTTAGCCTCAGGAGAGAGCTCAGTCTTCTGACCCTGGATTTCAGGACCCCATCCTTCCTGGCCTGAGGCCCCCTCTCTGCTGGCCTGTTCCCTTGTTGCACTGGAATAGAGGAATCAGAGTGATGGAGATGGACATCCCCCTGGAGCTATTTCCTGTTCCTTTCTGTGACACAATCTACCTCAGCCTGTCTGTCTTCCCTGCCAGAACTGGACCCCTTGGGTTCTTCGCTCCCCGTTCCCTGTATCACCCCAGTCTGGATGCGCAGTCCTTCCCAGGATCCCTTCAAAGTCCCTGGTATGAGAGAGGGCTCCAGAACCATAACCCAGAGGGGCTCTTGGGATCCCCTAAGCCACCTGCCCTCCACATCCATTATACAGGAGAAACAGGCCTGGAGAGGGGCAGGCACTTACCCAAGATCACACAGGAAATCAGTAACGGAATTAGGATTTTCCTGGGGATGAGAGGTGGTCAGATTGTCTTAATTTTGCCAGGAACAGAAGAGACACTCTGGTACCAAAGCGCCAGGAGGCCCTGCCCGCCCCCCCTGCCCCAGCATCTAACCATCCCCATTCCTAGGGCAGACTTCTGTCTCCCTACTTCTTTGAGCTCCCACCCTTGAAATGACCCCATAGGCTGCTGACTGTGCTCCCCAACCTCTCCAGGCACTGAGCACCCCTTGTCACACATCCACACACTGACATAACATGTGCCTTGTAATAGTCACCCCAGCTGAGCAACACAGGCCTCCATCCTCCCTAGCAAGGGCTCCCCAACAAGGGAGGCATTCTTGGTCCCCTCCTTTCCTCCACCTCATTCTTTTACCTCCCCCAAATCTTCCTTATCCTTGGCCAGCTCTCTGTGACACTTGTGTCTCCCTGGAGCTGGGTCACCCATGAGAGTTGGGAAAGCAGAGGCCTGGCAGGCCTAGATCTCCAGGTGAGGACCAGGGAGCTGGGACTGTGCAGGAAAGTGCTGGTTTGGCAGCCCCAAAGCCCCCCGAAGGTCAAAATTCTTCAGGTTCTTCCCTTGGAGACATCTGGGCTGGCACTGGGGGCATGGGGAGAAGGTTCTCTTGGGTAAGTTCATAGCCTGCAAACTCAAATGTGTGCAGGTAATGCAAACTAGAGAAGTAGAGGGATCAACAGGATGGGAGAGCCCTCTGGCAAACAAGTCAGTGTGCGCCCTGCCCATTGTCACTGAAGTCCAGTTTTTTACAAACATATTGTGCTGGCCAAATTAAACACCCATACCAGAGCCACCAGTTTGAAACCTTCAGTTCAAAATGTTGAGAAGATTCTGAAAAGACCTGCAGAGCCTAGAAACCTTTTGGGAAGTCAGGGACAGAGGTCTTGGCTTCCTCTGAGACTTAGAGTCTAACTACACCCCTGTCACCTGGCCATCTCAAAGAAGACCCCACTCCTCCTTCAGCTGGAAAGGAGAGGGAGGTTTGGGAATCCACAAAGAGCCTGACTTGGGAACCATCAACTAGTAAGGGCTATGGGCCCAGCCAGAGCCTCTGGGCAGCTTAGGATCTGGAGTCTTCTCTTTTTGGGGGGAGGTGGTAGTTCTGATTAGGAGGAACCTGCATCAGGTAAGGGGGAGAGTCCAGGCACAGGATGAAGACTGAAAGTGGGACCCACTGGCCCCTGGGACCTCCGTCCTTCCCCTCCCAAGCTGAGGACAGGTGGAAGAGAGCTCTGTTTCTATACTAAAGTGCTTTGTGCCCTCTCAATGGAAGAGACTGAGTGCCAAGCCACATAGGCAGCTGTGGGGCAGGGGCCTGAGTCCCTCTTCCCAGCCATAGGGGTTTCTGAGACCCTAGGCTGGGTGGGGGGACAGGAAGGAGACTGTAATCTGCCATTCTGACTGGGGAGGGATATGACATTCCCAGTCCTTGGTTGCTGCAGGTAGGGGCAAGTAGAGGAAGAAGGCTGGAGCAGGATGCAGTGGGATAGGGAGGCCCAACCCAGCCTGGCCTGGCTGAGCTGCCAGAGCCTGCCTGGCACAAAACTCTCTGAGGGACACAGGGAACTGCCTGTCTTTAGCTTCTTCCCCTCTAACCTTCTCTTGAGAAGAAAGCAGCCCTCTCCCCTGCAACCCTGGCCTTTATTCTATGCACAATCACTGTAAGGGCCACCCAGGCCAGGCTAGAGAGATGGGGACCTAGGGACACTGCAATAATCTCAATAGTGGAGGGGACCCTGGGACAAAGAAGGGGTAAAGACAGCACCAGGTGGGAAAAGAAATTCCTCCATCCCTCTGGCACTCAAATTCCAGAATCCATCCAGATCTACCGTGGCCCCCTCCCTGCTTTCTTTTCTGCCTGTCTGCATTGGGCTAAGCTCCCAAACATGGAGGGGCAAACAGACCCTGACCCCACTGGAAGGACCAGGAACCATTCCCAGGACCCTCACTTATTCTTTTCACCCCTGATAATCCTGTGCTTTGGGAGATCTGTCTTTTCTCCCAAGCAGAGCTCCTTTCTTGATGAAGGATTCATTTTGCCACATTAACTCAAACTGAGATTCTGATTGCAGTAAATGATGCCAAGGCCTCAAGTGAGCTTTCAGGGCTTGAGGGTGAGGGGTTTCTGTATTCTATTGGATTGCTTACTCTCAAAAGCACTCATGGATGCCCATTCCTACCTCCATAGACCCTCAGGCAGGCTTTGGCAGCTCAACTTGGGAATCAGTGGTTTAGTTGCCCACCATCCTATTTTATGGAAGGGGCAGGCCTAGAGACAGGAGGCAGCCTGCCCAAGTTCACACAGAAAGCTGATGGCAGAGTAGGACCAGAACCCAGGTCCTTTGGGAGAAGGTCCCACCAGAACCCCCCGCACCCCCAGCTCTGATCCCTCTGCTCCACTTTTTCTCCAGGAATCACTAGCCATGCCTGAGGGGCTGATTTCCCTCTGTCAGCACAATTCCAGGTGATTCCCTTTATGTTCCTTCTTCCCTCCTTGATCAACCCCCACCCTGCTCCTTCTGTTTCCTAGTCCCAGTCCCACTTCCTGATATTTACTACATCTGTGCCATTCCTAGTCCCCTCACCCCCACTCACCCTTCTGAGCTTCCCCCAGGAGGGGGTGGGGGCCCCAAGCTGTGGCTTCTGTACTAAGACTCTTTTGTACTCCACAAACTTTTTGTATATTTTTAATTTTGCTGCAACATGAGATATTAAAAGTCATTTCAGTACATGCTGCTTGTGTCCTATTGTGGCTGTTCTGGGTTGGGGGAAGAAAGAATGGGGAGGATGGGTACCTTTTGCCATAATCTCTGTGGCTCCTTACAGTGAAAAAGGCATTTGGTTGGGGGAGGACAGAACATTAAACAATTTCCTTGTTGATTGGATTGAACCTCCGTCAATTATACAGAATCCCAGGCCAAGATGTCTAGGGATTATCTCCAAACTATCTATCATTTTATAGATAACAGAAAAAGAGAGGGGAGAGGTGAGAACATACTTGTCAAAGGTCACAGAATGAGTCCATGGCACAATCAAGATTCCTAACTCCACTAAACAAGAATGTATTGAGAACCTACTATGTGCCAGATACAGTGAATCAGAAAGATAAAACAGGAGCTTATCTTGTAGAGGGCCTTGCCTCTAAGAGGTCCTCCCCTCTGGGGTTTCCACTCTAATCCAGTCTTCCTCAAGCTTCTAAGATCATCAGAACTATTTGGAGAACAACAGGGTTTAATTCAGATTTCCATCTCCATAACCAGAGGGTAGATAGAACATCCTGGGAAGTCTACTTCAAAAGGTCTCCAGGAGACTTTGGTGTGAGGTAGACCTCATTCCAAGGACCGTTCCTTTAATGAATCCTTGCACAAATCTGATCATGAGGTTTACTTGCTTTAGAATCTCCCATAGTTCCCCAGCACTTTCAGAATAAAGGTCAACCCTTTTGCCTGATGCTAACTTTTCACAAAATAGGCCCCAAACATCTCCTGAGTCTCATCTCCAGGAGTCCCACCTGGTCCACTGAGCTTTTCCAAGCCCTCTATCTACCTGCTTCCATGAGACTCTCCTGGTTGCCAGCCAGCAGCCTTTCTCACCATCTTTTCATGCAGGTAGAACCTCAGTTTCCTAGGGCCTCCTTCCAAGTACTCAGAATACGTTATCCTTAACCCTTCCTTGGCCTCAGGAGCAAAATCATAATTGGCCTAAAACAATGGTTCTCAAAATGTTGTCCACAGACCAGCAGCACTAGGGAACTTGTTAGAAATGCAGATGGTCAGGCCCCAACCCAGTCCTACTGAATCAGCCAATGAATGGGTGGGGAGTAGCACTTATGTCTTTGACCCACCACAACCACTCACCCACCCCCACCCATCCCCACCCATCCCAGATACTTTGGATTGAACTCAGGACCTTGAGCTTACCAAGCAGATGCATCGTCACTGAGCAGCAACTTGTCTTTGACAAGTCTTCCAAGTGATTATGATACAAGTATGTGAATCATTGATCTAAGATAATTCCCTTGACCAGGTATTGGTGGGGGAGGGGCAGATGACCTGACGCCTGTGAGGCAGTGACTGCCAAGTGTCTGCTGTAGCGATGTTCCCCTTCCTTCTATAAAGGAACTTTTAGCTAGGCGTATGGCCACCAAGATAAAAGACATTTCCCAGCCTCTTTTGCAGCTAGGCAAGGTCTAGCCAATAAAGGCAAACAATAGAACTTTGTGCTTGGGTATTTTCTGTCTTCCTTTTAAGGGAGGGGGATTGCATTCTCAACTGGCAGGACAAAGCTGTGTGGAGAGCACAAGGATATGAAACATTCCCAGGTCCTTGGTTGCTGCCTGGGAGGAACCACATATAGTGGTACAGCAAAGTAGGAAGTACTTGGGTTGTGACACATGGAGCTGCCATACCTGTTCTGTCCTGTGTGTGCCTCAGCTATTATGTGAAAAAAAAGATAACTTCTGTCATGGTTAAGGCCACTGTCATTTGGGTCTTTGTTACAGCCAAATATATCCTTGTTAATGCATCTGGACCATTGGTTCCTGGGGGAGGTCTTTTGAAGAGTCTCTGGAAAAGATTTTACTTCATGATAAAAAAAGACACAAAAGAAGCTAGGCATGGTGGTACATGCCTGTAATCTCAGCTACTCAGGAGGCTGAGCCAAAAGGATCAAAAGTTGGCATTCAGCCTGGGCAATTTAGTAAGACCCCATCTCAAAATGAAAATTTTATAAGGGGGTGGAGATGTAGCTTAGTGCTCCCTGGATTCAATCCCCAGTATTCCTAAGGAAAAAAAAAAAAAAAAAGGAGGAGGGGAAGCTCTCAGTCTCATCTTGCTGGATGGCTTCATGTGTGTTTTTCCCAAGGTGGCTGTAGCCATTTTGCCAGCTGTATTAGTTTGCTAGGGCTGCCATAACAAAACCCTCAGACAAGGGATTGAAGCAATAGAAATTTATCTTTTCACAATTCTGGAGGCTAGAAGTCCAAGACCAAGGTGTGGGAGGGTTGACATCTCCTGAGGCCTCTCTCCTGAGCTTGTAGCCCACTGTCTTCTCTCTCTGTTTCATCCTCACATGGTCTTCCTACCAGTGCCCCTGATGTCTTTGTGCCCACATTTTCTTTTCTTCCAAGGATGAGATTAGGGCCACCCTTACAGCCTCACTTTAACTTAATAAACTTTTTTGGGGTTTTTTTTGCTTAAATTCTTTTATTGGTACATTTTAGGTATACAATACATTTACATTTATCATTGGGTGCTTGTAAACCTGTGCATGATGTATCTTGGTTCTTATTTTTTCCCCATTACCTGTGCACCCTTCACCCCCTCCACCCTTCCCTATTTACATAGACTTTGTTTCCACTTTTTTCTTTTCTCATAATTTTTCCTTTCCCTTCTTTCCAACTTAATAAACACTTTTTTTTTTTTTTTTTTTGGTGCCGGGGATCGAACTTGGGTCCTTGTGCTTGTTCAGCAGGCGGCAAAACCACTGAGCTAAATACTCGGCCCTTAGCTTAACAAACTCTTGAAAGACACAACCTCATTTACATTTTGGGGTCCTGGTGATTAAGTGCTTCAGCACCTAAAAAGGGGGCACAATTCAGCCCACAACACCAGCAAAGTAGAAAAGTATGAGGAACTTGATGTCACTGTTCAACTGCTTGGTTACCCAGCCCAGAAAGCACTCATTCTGAGACTTCTTGTCATGCACAGTAATAATGCTCCTTCCTGTCCCATCCCCTTTGTGTGGATTGCCAGTTCCTTGCTGCCAGAAGCATCACATCAGGTATCAGGTGTTTGCTGAAGCTGTTTCCTCAGCCTTACTCTCCTTCACTTTCAGGGCTTGGCTGGAACACCTAAGGCTTGGGGAATGGCTCCTGCTTTTCCTTTGCCACCCAAGCAGCTTGCCTTACAGCGGAGTTCTTTGCCGTGTGTCTTTCTATAAGCAGTCAGGGTTGGCATATGCACTGTACACCTGCTGGCTCTGCTGCCCCATTCCCTCCTCCTGCCCAGGGCAGGCATTGATAATCAATTCTTTTTTTCCTGCTGGGAGCAGATTTTCTTTTTATAATCCTCTACACAGCTCTCTAGTCAACCCTGCCAATCAATTGGAGGTGAATCCTATCTGCCATAGTTGTCTCCAAAAACAGAGACTTTATTTGGCTCATCTCTTTTTTGATTCACAAGCTAATTTTAATAATATATGTTATCACTGTATGCTTCTGTCAATATTTAATCTCTGTAGCAGCCTTCTGAGGCAGGCACCATCATTATCCCGCTTTTGACACGGGGACTCTGAGGCTCTGAGAGATGAGGTAACTTGTTCAAGGTCATTTACATTCGACCACAGGTCCACCATCTCCAACCACTTCCACTGACATTTACCACGCACTTCATCTGTTCATGGCTCTAGGGTAGGCACTGCAGAGAATATAGAGATAATTCTCTCTTTCTAGTGGTATTTGAAACACTTCTGGTCTTAGTTGGTATTCCCAGCAGTTCAGAGATGTTTGGAGTCAGTCAAGGAATAATATAAAGCCCCATTTTATAGATAGGGAAACTGAGCCCCAGAGAGAGGACAGGGCTTGCAAAAGCTAGCCATGGAAGTGCCAGAGTAAGAGAATCTTTGATGCCTGTTGTCACTCTAATGGTGAGGATTTTGGACTGGCCCAAGGGATAGGTGGTAAGTTTAATGTAAAGAACAGAATCAGGGGGCCAGGGATTTAGCTCTGTGGTTATGCTGCCAGCCTTGAAAGCACAAGGACCAGAGTTCGATTGCTGGTACCAAAAAAAAAAAAAAGAAAGAAAGAAAAGAATAGAGTCAAGGATTGGCTCACACGGCCCTGCCTCTTCCTGTTGACCTGGCAGGCTGAGTACAGATCTCACTTCCTGCCGTTGGGAGGTGACGAGCAGGATGCAGGGGAGCAGGAGGACAAGGCTGGGAGAGCTGGCATTAACCAGGAGCCATTTCCCCCAATCTTCTGTAGCTCCCACACCCAGAGGCAACAGGGAGCCACAGTGCTCTCTCCAACTGACACTGACCTGCCATATACATACTTTCAGAAACAATGCAGTACAGCTCAGGGCCCTGGCACCTGCACATTACACTTTCCAGCTGCTTTCTCATTTGTGTTTTTGTGTCTTCCTTGCCACATTTAGAATAGCAGGACAGAGCTTTGGAAACTATGGATCCTATTGGGAAGATAAGAATACTATGGCAAAGTGAGGTTTCAATAAAAAACCTGGAGCAAGGTGTGGTGGTGCATACCTGTAATCCCAGCACTTAGGAGGCTGAGGCAGGAGGCTCGCTGTGCATTTGAAGTCAGCCTGAACTACATAGCGATTGGAAGGCTAGCCCAAAATATGTGATGAAACTCTGGAAAGAAAGAAAGAAAGAAAGAAAGAAAAAAAGAAAGAAAGAAAGAAAGAAAGAAAGAAAGAAAGAAAGAAAGAAAGAAAGAAAGAAAGAAAGGAAGGAAAGAAA